TAAATGTTAAGCTATCATCATATATGTATGCACATATGTACATATGCATATGTATATATACACACGTGTATGTGGAAAATCTTTCATAGATGCAGCAAATCATGACCCTCATCTGTTGTTTCACATAGGCTGACAGGATTGTGGGAAATGCAAGACTTTTTAAAAATCTAAATATATCATAGCAAAATGAACATAGATTGATTAAAGAATACTGAACAAATCTGAATAATATTGTTGTTTCCATAAGTAAGATAAATGTATTATTGTAATATGGGAAGGGAGTACAGACTATTTAAGCTGAAATAATCAGTTAATTTGCATTATAAACCTACTATAAATTTAAAGAGTATTCATTTTAAACTCTCAGTTAATGAAGACAGACCACCTTGTGATTAATAGGCTTTGAGAGCTTGAAATGAACATTTTTTAGAGGTAGCTCAGCGAGGCAATTCAGTCTCTGCTGCTTAATATTTCCTTGCCTATAATCTGTTTCTTTAACCAGATCATAGCTGCTAATTAATCATCATAAAGTCATTATTCTTTAAGTATTCCCAACACTGTCTCAGTGATATGAACAGTCTGTCACCTTCAGCATTTGCATAAACACTGAATGTGCTACTGAAAAGATAAAAACACTAAAATCATGATCAGTTTTTAAAACAAGCTATTTTATTTCAGATTTTAAATACAGCCCCAAATACAAATGTTACTGGGAATTTAGAGATGTTCATTTGGAGAGTCCCATGTTATTGGGGAAAGTTTTGAGTCTCTGTTCAAGGTTTTGAGTTTTGTTAATAAAATAATTCAAGATTGGACTCAGAAGGAAGCTATAGGACAAACTTTTTTTTAGCATTAAACAACCAAACAAACAACCAACCAAAAACCCAGGGCAGGCAAGCTGTAAATCTCAGCAGTTGCCTAGAGAAGGAAGATGAGAAAGAGAGCAAACCCTTGCATTTGCTAACAACAGATGTGGAAAGGGTTAGGGGAATAGCTGCAGAGAAAAAAAAGAGAGAGAGAGAGAAATCCTGGTGTGTCCAGGAAAGCATGTCCAGGCACTGACAAGCATCCCAAATAATAACAATAATAGTAATAATAATAATAAGTTAGCTTCTAAAGTAGGCAGGCTTAACCCAAGCACACAGCTGGGGCTCCTTTAAGTGACTTCACAGGAAGGGAATGTAAGTTATTTCCTTAACTGAATAATTTTACTCTCCCCATCTTTTTAGCGTGGCTTAAAGTGAATCATCCCTTTTGAAGTGTGATGTCTTAGCCAGAACCAAGTCTGTTAGCCCTCTGTATTGGAAAGTTTGGAATGTTAGATTCCCACCCAGGCAACAGAAATAGCTCTCTTGATGGGTCACCATGGAGCCCTGGTCAAGGTATAATGATATCCCCCCGACTTCATTTAGGAGATGGGTTGAAATTGGGGAATGAATATATATATATATATATATATATATATATATATATATAAATATATTCACCCTACAATCTAGGGTCTATTTCAGTCCTGCTTGTACCCATTGCCTACAGGCAGGATGATTTAAGAGCAGTAATAAACTCCCCTCAGCCTTCCCAGGCCAGAGAAGCAAGGATGCTCCTGGAGGAACTGCTTTTGGAGTTCTTGCTCCTAAACTGTCTAGCCAGTTTCCACCTCTTACCCTCCTCACAAAACAGATTGCATATTGCCTCTGGGAAATGTCAGTCTCTAGAGGCAAAAGTGAGTGTCGTAGTACTTTTCCATGGACTTTCACTTTGATGCTATTAACAACTAATTGTGGAAAACAACAGCTATATTTATATAAATATATGTTAATGCTGCAAGAATTATGAAAGGACAGCAAGTCCTCCATGAGGAAGCAACAATGAGAAAATTGCCTCTCCCAGCTCTGTTCCAATCTGGATACTGGCTATGGGGTAGGAATAGGAAAGTCTTTCTGAACTCTGGATGTCCTTTCCCATTAAAGCTTAATGGGAAACACAGGGATTTATAATCATTAAAGGTTATGAAATTAAAAATTGTGCTTCATTTCAAAAACTCAAGTCTATGGTTACCAGACCCTTTCACTAGAAACAGTTACTTCATCACTTTTACTTCTGGGAGAATTGCTTGGCACACAGTGAACAGAAATGAAAACATGAGACAGCACATCTCCAAAGTGCTTGCAGCCTAAAAGGTCTGTAGGCATCTTTTATGTAATAAGTAATGGAATAGCTGGAAAACTGCCTTTATAAGGGGACACTTGGGGCCAAAAAAAAAAAGAAGAGATGTCAAGTCCTTTAACATGGGGTAAAACTGGGAAATAGTCGAGGCAAGTTTTTTTTTTTTAATATAAAGCCACTGAGTATTTAATGAAGTTTTATTTAAACATATTATACCACATGAACATTTGCATTCTTCCTCCTGGGCAATGTGGACTTGAGGAGAACTAAGTACTAAGCAGGGTGCCAAAGACTGCTCTAAACAGCATTGCTAGCCTGAGTGGCCCAAAGAGAAGTGTGGTAAGTCAACAATAGTCCTTTGCTTTCTGCCAAGTTGAGCTTTTCTACAAGAAGTTTCTAGAAGATTCTTGTTGCAGATTGTCAGTGAAATTTTTACACCCACTAGATAGTCTGATTATAAATTATTATGTACTAAGAGCAGAAAGGAGTCATTTCTAGTGTATGAGAGAGGAAATATTTTGAGATTTACTTTGAATTGTCTGTAGCTGAGAAATGGAAGTGTATTTGAAGTATTTTCCCCAACTTTTTACTCAAGTAAATGTTAGGTTAAGGGGAGTTACAAAACAGTATGGAGGAGATTTACAACCAAGAGATAAGGTTAATGCTGGCTTTCAGAAGGTGACCTATTTGACAGTCTACAGCAGGTGAACAACTAGTAGGTCAGACTGTGTTTCTGAGAAGGGGAATATCCCAACAAGGGAAATGCCAGTTTTAAACATCTTACTGTGGAATTCTGCAATTTCGAGAAAGAGGAAAATCTGTTACGGTTCTATAAATTTTAAACCATAAAGCAATCCATATTACTTAGTCATTGTCTCCTTGAAGCCCACCTGCCCCCAATTTGTTTGCATTAGAATTGGAATGCAGGAACAATTTCTTTTTCTTGCAAAGTTTTTTCATTTATTTATTGTGTTGCATGCTATGGCATGCATGCAGAGGGCAGAGGACAAGTTGCGAGAATGTGTGCTTTCCTTCTACCACGTGGGTTCTGGCCATGTACCCAGGTCATCAGGCTTGGCAGCAAGTGCCCTTACCTACTGAGTCATCTCGGATACCCATGGAACAACTGTTCCCTCTCAATGTTTTGGCCAACTAGGTCTTGATCTGTATCATATTCATTAAATACCGTATGAAAAGTGATTTGCTTCAGTGGTGATGAAGATTGTGTCTCCACCCTTCCCCGTTTCACGCTGTTCCAGGACTCCAGCCTTTTATAAGCAAAGCCTTTTTGTCATCCTACCTTCAAGGGCAGTTTGGAGATGCTGTCTAGAGCCGCCGAAGAACCAGGTGCTGAATCATTAATTTCTTATGTCAGATTAGGGCCAAATGTCTTTGAACTTCATCGCCAAAGTGAAATAACTAACCACTCTTTTACTGTGGACCAGACACCTCTAAAGAAAAGATTTTCTGCGTAATGGATGTTTGTCAGTCCACTTCTGTGAGAAGCTCAGATTGCACACGTGTGTGCGTGGGGAAGAAGAGCACAAGGGTTCCTTCCATTCTCTGCTTGAATATCCCCAATGATGGGATTAATGCTTGGCAAATGGCAAGCTTTCCTCAAGCTTCCCCCAAACAATAACTTCCAGTCATTTATTCATTCAAAGTTACTGGAACTACCGCGTTAGCGAATCTGCAATAGAAAGTGTGAGGGATTTTTTTTTTTAACCCAAAGGATCTTTAAATAAAACAATGCATTGGCCGTTTTAAGAAAAAATAAATATCGCGTCCAAACCTAGTGCTCTATTTTGTATTTCTGCCCTAGGATGGCCTCAGTTCCTCTCCGGGAGGCGGGTTAAGGATGTGCTTGCTGCCCTTGAGTCTCCTTCCTTTGTAGTTTTTTTGGC